ACACTGCAGCTTGAATTTCACACAGCTGAACATCTATCCATTTGGCCATTGGCACAGGAATCTCCATAGTGTTACATACCTGATGGTGGAACCTAAGACATAGAGGAGGGCCTCCCTTGCGGCTCTGACTCAGGGGCCCTAGTAAAGTGACAGGAAGCGCCGGAGAACAGAGTTGCATGAGTGTATGTATGCGGGTTAATGAGCGCACTCTAAAAAGCGGCTATTGCACTAAAAAGGAACCACAAAAACCTTTCTGTATAGAATCAATGAAATGGGGAGTGCAGCGCTACAAAAAGTGATGAACAGGCTGAACCTATCTTCAGCAAATAAATAAATAAATAACAACCAATGTCCAGTACAGCAATAACAGATGAAGTAAATAGTCCAAAAATTATAGGTGACTTCAATCAATGCGGATATGATCCAGTATCCTGATGAGGAGATATAGATAGATTGCCTACTCACCAGAAGCGCAATCTCAATGCGCATATCAAGATCACATGTAGCCGGGGGTCCTAGGTAGGTCCTAGCTAGGTGCTGCCTGGTAATGCAATCCTCTGGTAGTCACTCAGTGGCGTGTGTTAAGGATACTGGTCTGGTGATAACGTGCTTACTCCTCAAGTCTGCACAGATGCTTGGAATACTGGGGCTGAGGTATGGAGGCTCAGTGCCAGGTATAAAGAATAAAGGTGCTCATAGTGTAGTAATATCATGATGGAATTCCCATGGAACAGATGTGTGTCAGGAATGCAGGAGCGGCCGGAGGATGGTGTACTGGTAGAAGTGCTGGGTTGCTTAGGCAGCGGGTGCTCAGGTAGATGTGCAGATGCAGGATACTGGCAGGGTGAGCCGGTAGAAGCAGGATCAGGGTATGCAAAGTCAGGCAGTACAGTTCAGCAACAAGTGGGCAAGTCAGACAGAATCAGCAAGCAGAAGAATAGTCCAAAGGGCAGGCAGAGGTCGGGGCAGGCGACGTTCTAGCGAGGTCAATGACAGGTCGGATCAGCAGAAGTAAAACAGATAGCAGGCTACACAGGAACACAGGGTAAAGACCAAACGGCATTGAGGCAGAGTCCCATCTTAGTTTAAATAGCCCGCCTGGCACCAAAGTGCCATCGTGCATGCGCACCCCCCGCACACCCTCGCATGCGACCGTGCATGTGCACCCGCCAACCACCCACAAACGGGGCCGACAGGAGCCTTGCACCCATGCACAACTGTACTCCTTCTCTGACACATAGACTCTGTACACAGTGCTGAGATTTCTCTCATATTGTTTCTCTTGCTTGTTGAATGTTCCTATCCTATAGTGTTAGGCTATTTTCTCTATTGGTGAAAATTCTTTAACTCTTACGGTTGAATATTCTTATGACTATTTTTCTGTTAGGATCAAATGCTACATTTGCTAAGCAAAAGGCAACAAATAGAAACTGACATACATATTACAAACATTACGGCTATTATTTGTTACTTTTGCGTTAATGATGAGTCATTTACAAAGCAATTTTTTATATACAAACCCCATGGTGTTCTGCTTTAAATCTTACATATTTACATACTATATACGTATTCAGAGAAGACATTACACAGTTTTCATTTAGCAGCTGTACTCGATACATTTTAATATGTATTACTAAGGAAGCAAAGATAATATTACAATATAATCTTTTATATCTTATACATCACTCCCAAATCATTTGACTTAATATCATATCTTGTGATCTGTTATATTAAATGGTAGTTACAACAAACATTGAATTAATTTTCTTTAATATGTATTTAAAGTTCTATAAACATAAACCCTCACCACAGACCCCCATCAGCCCCCACCTCTCCCACATAAGCAATTTAAACTACTGTACACTGAACATATTTTATCAGATTTATAAAATTTTACCATGAGAGTTAATTGTATAAAATTGCAAATGGTAATATTTTCACTGGATTTAAATTACATCAGAACAATTAGTTCTATGTTTCCTTACAGTTAGACAACAAAGCACTGGGCCACTGAGGAAGAGAAGCATTTAGAGGGATTAGTCTAGCCATATCCTCTTTGGAAGCAGAATGTCATCTGAAGTTATTTAGTCATGGTTATTCCTTTCCACCACTAGAAAGGAGACTGCTAGTAGCTGTTCACTGCAGGGCTCTGAAAAGTTCCCCATAAAACAAATCTTAGAAAATCTTTCCTTTAAGATCTGTTTCTCTTAGAGAATTGGAATGCTTTACATCATTCAGAAGATACTTAGTTTCTACTGCATCCGTGATATTTTTTTATACTAGCCCCCTGAAATTCAAACCATTGTGAAATTTATTTATTTTAAGGATCACTGAGCTTTAGTGTAGGAAAATAAAATGAGCTTTAACAATATATCAATATTAGGGATGGGCGAATCTCCCTGGGTTCAATTTGGGAGGAGGAAGGGGAGAGTGGGGATTGTCTAATCCTGCTTGAATTCACGAAACCTGAACTTAGCAGAAAGTCCCAGTAAAGTCTATTGGGGCGAATATTAATGATAAATTCTGAACATTTCCAAGCTAATGAGCGAGCTATTGTCAAAAAAAGGCATGGGGAGCTGGGCACTGCCAAGAGAGACATTAACCAAAGCAAAAAGAAAAAGAAGGGTCCTTCAAGGGAAACATGGAAAAGACACTAATCCTTCAAATTAGATGCTTGGGAGATGCTTTTAAACTGTAAGTGGTGTTACGGAACAACAAGATTGTCACAGAGAGTATTAGCGGCAGCATATTCTGGAATCACTTATTTTAAATGTGGAACAGACTATTTATCTTTTACATTAGGCTTAGTTTAAATTCAGCAGGAGCACGATAATCTGATTCAATTCGCATGAAAAAAAGGCTAAAACCTATAGGAACGTTTACTCCTAAAAAAATAAAGCAAAAGTCCTCAGCTTCATCTAAAAATGCTACATGCATCCTGAATGATGACTTATCTGCATTTTTCCCAGCTTTCAGCTTCCAGAAGATTGCTGCTAAAAAAAAACCAATGCTGCCGGTGGGATGGGTTGGGGTGGGAGTTTCAGCAGCTAAAAAGCATCTATTGCTGATACATACAAAAATTTAGCCTTGAAAAAGACTGTTTTGTCTCTGATAGTTAAACATGGGGGTACACAAGAATATGTCACCCACCACACTGCAATCCACAGCAATTTATGGGAATATAACACCACATAGCAGCTAACTCTCACTACATAGACTATCAACTGTCCCTAAGCTACTCTAACATACTGACAAATGAACCCACCCTTTTATCGTGAAGGGGTTTGTACATAATAAAGCAATCATTACTGGCCCTTCTAAGTCAGCTGACCTAAGTTCAAAGGCCAGGCAATGCATTATTATTACAAAGAATTCGCTCAACCAGATTCCTGCATTAAATCACAGGGGCTGCTAAATAAATACAAACAGGGTACCTCCTCTGTAATTAAAATTATACATTTTATGCTTCTTAATTTAAGCTTGTGCTAAGAATTGCATTTGCTAAGCTTGTAAACTTAATATTAATTATAAAAAAATTGCATGTTTGATTCAGTAAATCTGTATTTTCAGTACAATATACATTTCTGTAATCCTGCATTGCCTTGTGGATAAAATGTAAGTGTAGAGAGATAAAACAGCCCCACACTTAATCCAGTTATATACTTGTTAAAAATGCTAAAGCTCAATTTTCATTTAAAGATATTTCTGTTGGTGAGGTTGTAATTCACATATATAGTGGTACTCTCCCATGATACAAGAATTCTGGAAGGACATTTTAGATAAGATATTTGATATAGGTGCTATTGGCCTATCATCATCAGATTCTTGAACCTGTCTCTAAATTTTGATCCCAGGCTTTAAAAAATCAGTTATCCCTCATTTGCTCAATGTGGCCAAAGGACTTATACCAAGATATGGGCAATGAACTAAAATTCCTAAGGTAAGCAAATGATTTGCTAAAATTTAATTTAATCGCCTAATGGAAGACCTGTCCCACTCCTACAAGAACTCCTACAACTTTTATGAAGCACTCCAGTGCCTTTGCAGACATAGTAGTCCTCCAAACATGAATGTAGTTATCACTGTTTGACATCTGTCTTTGCGTACAACTCTGTGGAGGTAACCTAGGCCGCCAAGGACACCACACAAATGAAATTTATGACAAAACCATATATCCTATTTATGGTAGTTATGTTGGGCTATAAATATGTCCCATGTTTAGAATACCTATTTTCAAATACTGTTGTACGCTGTTCCCATATGACTCTGTTATACCCTTACCCCAACTACTTCTTTGTTCTCCAACAACACACCTTCCTAGCATTGTCCATGCCACTTCCCCCAATCGCTTCCAAGACATTTCCAAGACATTCCAGAGGAGTTAGAAACTAGATAACACTTTTAAAATCCATTTTCCCCTATGTCTCATATCTTGCAATATGAGAGACTTACCTAAAAACCAGGCATATCTTCAGATTGCTCACGATCAGGCAAATAGGTCACACTCCCTGGCTGGAATACATAGGAAAGCAGAAAATTACATCTCTTGAACCATTAAAGTATGTATTTCATATTTCGTATCTAACCGTTCCTCAGATGCGTCTGCATATTAATCTACCCGTAGGTGGAATGTTACTTGTGCCTAGGAAAAGTTATGAGCCAAAATATGAGCTAAGAGAGATTTTGGTTCTAGTTTAGGCCTCCGCCCAGACAACCCCTCCCCAAATGAGGCATTGGTCCTTGGCTTCAGAGACACCCCTTGCTGGGGGACTACAAAATAGGCTGTCAGGCCTAAGAGTGTAAGTTGAAGAATTCTCCCGTTTAACATCAGAACCAACTTGGGAGACGTGCCCTTTTGCTCTGAAACTTGATCTGCTTAACCCAAGGCTGATTGGCAAGTACTTTAACCCTTTAACCTCCTTTCTGTTACCTCTTTGCTGTGCTATTGTTCTCTGTATATTTATATATATATATATATATATATATATATATATATATGGTTACATCTTTTTTCTGTAAATATTTTTATTGCACCCTTTTGACCTTTTAGTAATAAATCTTTCTTTCTGAAAGTGCTGAACTGTTTCTATAGCTCGTTAATGCAACTTAGGAATTCCTGCCACTGAAGAGCACTACTATGTGTGTTTAACCATCTGTATAACCTGTCTGCAGTGACAGTGGTGTACAGACGATCGTATAACCCTTTGAGGACCAAGGGACGTATTTGTCCCATGTTTTTAATTGCCTGTATAATCTGATTAAGAACTTAAAATACTTTTTTTTTTTTGGTTTGAGTCAAAATATTAGTTCTTATCAACAAATGGATCTAGCTTTTTGCCAATTATTTCATGAAATGGCTTAGTTACAGCAAGTGAAGTGTACGAACTTTAAAAAAAAAAAATTGATTCTTTTGGCGTTCCGTAATCTTATGGTCCTCAAAGGGCTAACCATCCTAGTGTTTTTGCTGATATCGCAGTTTCCTTTTTCTCTGTACAAAAAGGAGGTGGTGGCAGTGTGAAGGGTTAATTGCGTAATTAACCTGACCCAGTAACAATTGCGCTCAGGATGCCAGTACATCGATTTGTGATCCATTAGCTGGAAAATCGTTGTGCAGGGTGCAGCTGAGCATGGCATTGTTACGCACATGACATCGCAGTTTTAGATTGGTTAGTCCTTCGGTCATGAGTTTGGTGAGAAGGGCTGGGGTCTGATGTGCAATCGTCACAATGCTCACTGTTGGACTGTTTGCATATTGCTGTCAAACATATATGTACCTAGGCCAAAATTATGTCATACATCCGCAGAGTCTTCATAGGCATTCTTTTTATTTCATCTGGAGGAGTGTTTTTCTTTGTTATACATACCCCATACCCTCCTGCCTGCATACCTGAGCTAAGGGCAGATGGATTTCAAGAAGTAAATGCTATATGAATCATCTTACTCAAGATGGCCACAGCCAGAAATGCTAGGAGGTTGTTTGCTCAACAAAATAAGGCATGTAGACATGGATGGATGCACTTGCTTTGAATATAAAAAATTAATTAAAAACATTTTCAGTTTGTGGTGCTCAGATAGAGTTTAGTTGCTCTTCAGTTAAAAAGTTTCAGCCTACCTGTCCATACTCCCACATCTTATGTCTTTCATTTAACCACTTCAATACCAGGCACTTGTACACCCTTCCTGCTCAGGCCAATTTGCAGCTTTCAGTATTGTCACAACTTGAATGACAATTGCACAGTCATGCAACCCTGTACCCATAAAAATATTGTATATGTTTTTCACACAAATAGAGGTTTCTTTTGGTGGTATTTCTATTTTTTTCTATTTTTTTACAAAATAATGAAAAAAAAACTTTTGAAAAAATACATATTTTTCTTTGTTTCTGTTATAAAATTTTGCAAATAAATAACATTTCTTTATAAATTTAGGCCAAAATGTATTCTGCCACATTTCTTTGATGAAAATAATTAGTGTATATTATTTAGTCTGTAGGAAAGATATAGAGTCCACAAACTATGAGATATATATATATATATATATGGTCAATCTCATTTGTTGGGGCCCGAAAACGCCAGGATAGGATAGATTTTTGGAAAATAGACAGTACAAGGTATTTAGTAAGAGGCATGGTGAGTTTTTTGAAGTTGTAATTTCTTGTCACATTTTTTTGGGAAATGAAGAACTTTTTTATGTTGTGTCACCAGTCCAGTACAGTGCTGTAATATAACTGGTGTGGCAGTGATCAGGGACACTGACTGCTGACAGTATGTTAAAAAAATAATTACATTTTTTTTTTCCCATTTTTTTATTTTTTATTACATTTCATTAAATGTTTTTCAACACACTGTGACCAGAGCAATACAATGTACTACTCTGGGCAAGTGATCAGGATTTCTTTTTTTTACAAATTATGATTGCTTATACCAATGTATTTCATTGATATTAGCAACAATTTTTACTGAATAAAACTACCTCATTCAGTCTTTTGTTGTGATTAGCTGTGATCGGCCAAAGCTCATCACATGATACAGATGGGCTGTGATTGGCCCTTTCAGTACCATGTGACTGCTGTGACCAATCACAACTAACAACACAATTGTATACAATGGATGGCATAAAAGGAATTATCATGTGATCTGCTGTGATTGGTCACAGTGATCACATGACACTGGCAGCGGGCCTGTGTAGTGATCTGTCATTGGCTGTGTGGACACAGACGGTGACAGATAATTTGCTGCATGGCCCAGTGGCCGCGTGAGTGGCACCTTCTGACAGGAGGTTATTAGATGCCCACTCAGAAGGAGGAATGTCCTACCCAGCCATCAATCAGCTATCAAAAAGGTGTTAAAGCGGAGTTCCACTCACTCTGTAAAAAAATAAAAGTCAGCAGCTACAAAAGCTGTAGCTGCTGACTTTTAAAAAACAGCCACTCACCTGTCCCACGATCCCGCGTTGCCCCCTCCACAGTCCATTTCACCGTCCATCCTGTATTCCAGGCGACAGCTTGCAGCTTCCCAGCTGGGTGCCCACTGCACATGTGCGAGTAGCGCTGCACTTCCTGAAAGGCCCCGTCGTCTTCTGGGACCTGTCACGTGTCCCACAAGACTTCTGGGAGAGAGGGTAGGAGGACAACTTCCATTTACGATCGCCTAGGCGATCACAGCGGAAGTGGGAGCGGGTATCTGTCAAATTTGGGTACCCTTAATGGGGAGCGGGGGACCAATCTTTAAAGCAGAACTTCCCCTTTTGGGTGGAACTCCGCTTTAAGCATGGTTGAAGTATACCAGACAACACAGTTTGTTAACTTGCCCTGTTGCCTGCTGGTGTTCTGGGAAGACTAAGTAGTAAGCCACACAAACGGACAGTCCACATGAATAAACAGTCCAAACCCACCCAAGGAAGGACATAAACAGATGTAAAAGAAAGTAAGGTTTAACCCAACAGTTCTTAAAGAAGCTGCAAAGAGTTTTGAACTCCTAAGTTGCTTCAAAATACTTTGATCTGTGTTGGCATTTCCATTAATTTGCATGGTATAGAAAGCAAATAAGATTCCAACATATTCCTATGTACAAAATCCTTAATATGCTATGCATATAGATGAGGCATCTGCAAAACTTCATATGTTTGCTTAAGCTTGGAAAAACAGGGAGGTCATCCATAAATCAGACCAGGTGATCATGGAAGAAGACTGCAGGCAATTTTATGATTTTCTTCCTCTTATTTTAAACCAGATTAATATATCATTCAAAAGAGAATGTTTGTCCATTGATAAATCCATAGGTCAGACTGTACCACTTAGCAAGCCCCTCTCTTATCTCCTCATCTCCAACATACTACTGAATTGTCCAGTCAGAGAGGGAAAGTAAAGCTAATTCAGACCTTATGCCTGCAACTCACAGTATACATAGCACTTAATATTCAAACGTATACATGCAGAGAAGTCATGTTAAGACACAATACACTTAGAAAAAGAATCAGATACACAAACAAATAGAGTAATAAAAAGATTCTGCCCTAAAGAGTTTGTAATATAAACATCGAACTGGAAAATCTCCAAAGCACGGTAGGAGGTTTCCTCCAGTTGTAATCTCTGTCTCCTTTGTGAATTCAAACGATTTCATTTCCCAATTGAGAAGACTGTTTTTATTAGAATGTTGATAATTTATACAGGAAATTGCATAACTTACTGTTGTCTAAGAGAGTTAACAGACTGTTTAAAGTTAATGACATGATGTTATTTGGTTTAGAGCAGCGACAGCCTTATATGGAACAAATAGTCTCAGTTCTATCTCCCTATACTCTTGAGAAACTTACTATTTTCTGTATTTAAATGGAGCACAACTATTGAATGAAGGTATGATTGGAGCATCCTAGGCTTTACTTCTATACATTTTAACTTTATGTCTTTAGAATGTAGTGGTTTTTAAAGATCAATTCTTTTTTAAGGCATACAAATAGGTATATTAGTAATCATTCTGAGCACATAGGGGGAAGAGTAAATGTCAATTTTAATTAATTTATAAAAATACGTTTGTATACCTTCTATTGGGTCAAATATGGAAATTTAAACTCTATCCCTAATCAACAAAACACAATCACAAATGTATCCATATATTTAATACCCCAATCCACCTTTTGGGTATCCACATTAACTTTAGAATGTGTGTATTGAACAATAAGGTATTGAATGCAGGACTCTCTATTCCCATTTGCAATATATCACGGTGATATAAGATTACCGTATCTAATGTCTTATATGCTATGCAAGAGGCCTAAACAGTCAGGCTTATTTATGTAAAGTGGTACTCCAGGAGAAATGTTTTGCCAGTTTTTGATTTCAAGTTGATAAAAGTTCCAACCATTCCCAGTCTATTGAAAAATGTGTGTTAATCTTGTGCTGTGTTTTTTACAGAGGTTTTCTTTCATCACTTATAGTAAATAGGTAATGAGGGGAAGGCTAGCCATATATGTATCATTGTTTTTTCGATCAGCCAGAGAGCTAATGGAAAAAAAAATTATTTCCCCATCCAAGCAAGGTGGAAGGAGGAATCCTCCCTGCTGCAACACGGTGTTCCAACAGTCCCATTCAACAGAAATCAATTGTTAGCTACATTTACATTGAGTCGTGGATGGATCAAAATTCAGCAGGTCCCTGCTGTAACCTGCCAAATTTGGATCCATCTATGGGCAGCCTATATTAGCACAAATAGGAATACAGACAAAATAAAATAAATAAATAAATACATACATAAATAAATAAAGGTGGTTTATTCCTCTCCCATTTCTATATATATATCAAAAACAGCTGGAGATCTATTTTAAAAATCTAGAGGACTCTGTCTGGCATGTGGTTAGAGGCATATGGTATTAGTACCGAATATTCACAGGTCAAAAGTCAGCCCAATTCATTGTAGATCTCAAACATGGCAAATTGACTTGCTCTTCTCTAAGGGTTGTTAACTCTTAGAAATCTCTGTATGGTATTTTCACACACAATCCATTTATAAAGGAAACAGTTTAATCTGTTTCTCCCATAACTGCAATTCCGATAAGAGTAGAAAAACACTGGGTTATCAAGCTGCAGTTGTGCTGTATAAATCATACTATTTGCTGTAGGTGGAATAATTTCCATCTAAACTGAATCCTTAAAATCCCTATGACCATAAAAGTTGGATTTATGAACATAGCATTTAAGTCTGAATGTTGCTAACAGACAACCTCTTCATGGCCATGTCTGATAAGTGGAAAAAATAAAAGAAAGTGCTTGATAAGAGGAACAATTTCCTGAGCCGAGTAAATATATGAGTAGAATTTAGGAGATATCACTTTGGTTGAAGGTCATTCTGTAAGATTCTTTACGGTTTGGCGCAATGAATTTAATCTGTAGTTGCCTCCTGTTACACTGCTAAAATTCTTCACATTCCACAACTGCCACAAAAAAAAGTAATACAGCTGATAATGAAATTGTCTGTTTGAACCATCAATGGAACCAAGGTGGCCTTAATTACATCACATAGAAAAATACATAAATGAATGTAAAATAAATTAAAAGAATTAAAACCAGATCATTTGTTTATATACATATA